CCTTTAATTTTCTTTAAAATAAATTCTTTTCTCATATGAAAAATAAAGAATTGATTATTCTAGGAGTATCCGACAATTATAAAAAATATATTTTTTTATGATTTCAGGATAATATATTTCAATAGCCATATTTATAATATGACGATGATTATATTATATAAATCGATTTAACTACTTTGCCTTTTATGACCTTTTCCTATGACCCTAATCAATATTTTATATTTCTTAAATATTTATGTTCACATATTATTCAATTAATATAATATATATAAAAAATATAAAGTAAATACGATAATATAATATATCAATATAAAAATATTATCATTTTCATCCATAATTTTATCATATCTATCTTATAAAATAATATCCCATCGATAGAATCTAACCGAGAATATCGATTTTACTCATAATCTCCTACAACCATTATTTCATTACAAGAAAATTATTAATCTCCTACAATATTTTTTAAATTTTTACGAATATATCAATATTCCTAAAATCGCCCATTTATATAAACTACATTTTTTGCGTACAATTAAGATTTGCTACCCATAGTTATTCTATCAAATTCGAATTTTAATAACCATTATATCTCGAGTTTGCCGACCAATATTTAAATATTTTATTCTAGAAAATATAAATTTACCAGCTTACATATTTAATTTCTAATATAAAACGACTTTTAATCTATTTCGCCTATTCATATCTTTATAACCTTCCTTCATTCCATCTTTAAAATATCTAAAAATTAAAATTCTAATTTGAAATATATATTAGAAACTAATAAAATATTTATGAAATACATTCCAATTATAGAATATTAAGAAGAAGATTCTTCTCGATCAGAGAATAAGAAATCCTATATATAAATAGATAAGAAAGAATACAAGAGACCTCCATCCACCGAAAATCATATCTGATTATTTTTTCATTATTATTTTTATCATCAACTTCATTGTATTCATACCATAAAACTCCATTGAGAATATCTATCCAAGAAGAAAGATTATATTTCTTCAGATTTGTCTACTTACATAATAAGTTGTTTATCTCTCTCGTCCAGCCGTCCTCCAATCCTCCCTATTTGGCTATCTCCTCTCTGGGCTCTCTGCCCGCTCGCCCTCAACCCTTCGTCCCCTTCCACGACATCTCTATAATATTCTATAATCTCTACGCGCTCGCCCAAGATTCTTCCATATTCTTCCCTAGACTCACCCTCGTTTACCCCACGACACTCCAAATGCATGCGTATCCTCGACCCCCGCATCCGCGACACTCTCTAAGACACGCACGCCTTCGTGTATCCCTCCATTCCTGCGCTCCTCTCGACTCACCCTGGCCCACCAGTCTGCCATATTCCCCACAACACACACCCTCACGACACACTCCTTTCAAACTCGCTCTCGCCCATCACCCCACGACATTCCCCACGACGCATGCGCCCTCCCCACTTTCCGCGACTCCCCTCGTCCCGCTCGCCCACACTCCCCACGACACGCAGGCCATCGCCCGTCACTCCGCGACACTCCCTTGGACTCGCTCGCCACTCCCGATACACACGCCCTCGCCCACCTCTCTGCGACACTCCCTACAACACACACGTGCTCGCCCACACTCCCCACGACAACACACAGGCAGGCCCGTCATTCCATGACACTCACTTCGACTCGCCCTCGCCTGCAGCTCCCCACAACACACACGCCCCTGCCCGCCACTCCGCGACACTCTCCTGGAACCGCACTTGAACACCATTCCACGACACTCCTAAATGATTGTCACTTTCTACCAAACTTCATGATTTTGGAAACCGTTTTTACAACATTCTAGATCAAAAACCAACCATAAAGATAATATTGCAGAGACATCTTAGGTCGAAACCTCAATCTGGTCCAAACGATGGACAAGCACTGTCAAGACTCTCATTTTCTCTCCTCCCCATCGCTACCACAACGACAAGTCCCTCCTTATTAGGTCACTAACCACGATTGACAAATTTCAGATCACCCGTCAAAGATCGATTATCCGTACATAGTCCAACCTAAATTTTCTGTCTCACCTGTCGCAACCCATTCGACCGTACCTAACTCGAGTTTTGAAAGAAGAAAATCATCCCCATCAACCGCAAGACCTCCTACCATATAACTACGGAGCAAAGATATAATAATACACAACATGATAACTAAGAACCAATATATCCAGCTGATGACTGGGTCCGTGACTCTGATAATTGAGTATATGCCAGTGTAGATCCTGAACCGTTGATGGAGCGTCACGACGACCATGAAAACCACGACCAACACATGCCATCACTTGCCCTTTAAAGCATGCACACCAGATTTCTGGCTGAAGTTACGTCTACAGCAAGCCGGGCATGGTTCCATGCTTGGTAATTAGAACAAGGACATCTTTTGATGGTTCCAAGTTTTTCTGGATACTGTACCGTGGCTTCGTCGCCTTGGCGCTATCTCAGCCATATCGAAAGGTATTGACACATTGACATGCCCGGCTGCACGTGCTGAGGGTGAGAACAGATGCACTGGTATAAGCAAGAAATACTGAGATGGTCTGTCGACGGTCTTGGCAGCTTTGATTGGCAACTTGAAAATCTCGGCTTAACGCATTGAGGGATGTTGAGAGAACTCAACGGTCATGCTGGCGGAGGCGGGGGCGGCGGTGGTGCCGGTGTGCTCTCAGACTCGGAGGCCTGAAACCTCCGCAGGTCAGGAGCGTCCCTCCACGTCCCAAAAAGCGAACAAGTGAGAAAAATCAAGACTGAAGCAGTCATTTCACGTCGCAGCACCCTTTGAACGTCAAGATAAGCCGAGAGCAGAGACTTGTAGTAGCCGATCTGCTGCGTTGGATCAGACCTAAGGATCGGACATCGCTCAGGCTACAGTGACTCCGACAAATGCCGTCCCTCTCTGAAGCTGTGCTACTGCTAAAGCTGCTTGGGACTTTGGTAGACAATGTTTGTCTTGTGGGAAACAAGATGCGCAAGTCTGAGCCACTGGCACCAGCACAAGTTCTTCCTCACTTTGACAAGTATGCGGTGAAGGAGCAACTCTTTCACGGGTATCATCGAAACTCGCATACGATTGACCACCCTCAAGAGGAATAGTTCTCAGTTCTCAGGCAGGCGGCAGGCTTCACGACAGCATCACACATCGGACACTGCTCGTTCGCCTGGTGGAGATGAGCTCTATGCTCTGCTTTTGCTTTGGCTGCGTCTGCAACTGTCAACAGCTTTGTGCGCCGGGTTGTCGCTTTGGACTTCAGGGCTCGCGACTGCTGTATTCCTGCCTGCAGCATAGCATAGAAGACTGAATACCTGGCTGTCGCAGCAGCTGTGTCGAAAGCAATGCAATACCCGTTCAATACCACCACAAAGAATCGCTCTGATCTCGGCAAGCGGAGGAAGCCATCCCTCATGTCTTTGCACTCTTGTCCGGCCGGCCTGGCAGGAAAATTGCATGCCGGGCAATTTGACCTCAGAGCTTTCTCTGTCAGTGGCAGAACTGGTAGTCACTTTTTCAGTTGAGCTCGCTCTTTGGGCAACGCAAAGCAGGCGCGCCGGGGCCCTGGCCAGTCCTCCTTCAGCATGCGCATGCCGCTAGCGATGCAAAAGGGAGAGATGTTCTTGCAGTTTAGGCCTTGGCTCTGCATCCCTCAAGTGAAGGTACAACCACCGAAGTCGGAAGAACTTCGACAAGGAACAATCGAGCTGTGACTCCGCAAAGTTGAAGCCGCAGTACATGCAGGGCAGGCTCGCCTCGCGATGGCGGAGCAGTGCAACGGCCAGAAAAACTGCTGATTCTAAGCTCTTCTGAGATCCGCAAAGATTGTCTGTCTCGTATACTACCGGACATAAAATCAGCAAGCATGAGCTGAACTTGACCGTCAGCCGTGCTGCAAGGGGCAGCGTTCCACACACTTGGGTATGTGCGCGCCTCGAGCGCGTCTCTTTGATCAACCTCGGGAGGTGGCTTTCGGACAATGTTCTCGATCTTCTTCTTGTACCTGCATCTGGCCAAGAGATGCAGGAGGTGGGGATTGTCACGAGACAAGGCGAAACTCAAGACACTCCAGCTGTGTTGCAATGCAACGGTATTCCATCCGCAATCGCTCGTACTGCTTTGCTGTCCAAGGCCCCGGCTGCTCGGAGACATCTTTCCGGTACTCAGGCTTCATCAGGGTGCAGGCGTACTGGTAGGACTGCCATGGCATTGTAATGATGCACAGCTCAGGGAGACCATGCAGACCCCACTTGCAGCCTTGTGCTTAGGTTAAGGTCTTCTTCGACTGCACCCCAACTTCGATATCAGTCGAGTTGTCACCGAAGCCCAGGCCCACGAAGGAGGGACAACGCCACTCACACTCCCATCTTCACTCCAGTATGTACACACTCGTCATCGGAGGTGTCTAACCGCTTGTGTTAGGAATTCATGTAGCGCCTCGCCGGGCATCTTCGCACGCTGGCATTCGATCACCACGGACGTCAGGATTGGCACGATGTGCGCTGGAAACCTAAGGAGGCTGCCGCAAACTGCCAGCGGGACAGCGTGTGGCTGCACGGCGGTAAAGCCGGGCTGTGCTCACATTGGCAGCCATGGTTTTGTGAATGCAGAGATGCCCGGGGCCACTGCTGCTGAATGTTCTTCGCAACACGCACCAACCTTACAAATCAGCTCACTTCACATAACAAACAACTCAGTCGGTCAGTCGACTCACTCTTGAGAGGTAGGAGACAGGTGATGCACACCAGTCAAAATGCCCCAGCTGCGCCTGTACAGGTTGCAGGCACGTCACCTGCATACTGTTTGCAGGTTCATGAACGCTACGAGTCTATAAGGCAGGGCACAGCTGATATTGCACCAGCATGTACACGCAGCCAGTCTCTGAATCAAAGCACACACGTGGCAATGAATTATGACGGAAAGATCACCGGCTACTACGATTTGCGCAACTCCTGCAAGTTGCATGCTGCCCGTGGCATCCGTAGCTTATGTGGAAGCTGTTGGGTCCTCTGCCGGCTTGTGGCCGTACTGTGCGAGCAACTCAAGACTGTCAGCGGCGTTCAAGAACTGCGCCCAGCCCACTGGTGTTCCACCGTGTGCAGCATCTTTGATTGTAGCGAGCGCTCCCCTCTCTAACAGAAGGCGTAGGCACCTCAGGCTGCTGTATTGGGCCGCGAGGTGCATTGCCACGGCTCCTTTTCCATGCTCGGCTCCACCAAAGTCATGCCGAAGATTCGGGTCAGCCCTATTGTTTAGAAGCCATTCCGCAGCCTCGCAGCTATCACTGTAAATTGCCCACAGTAACGGCGTCCCACGGAAAGCATTGCTGTTGACATTCGCCCCAGCCTTGCAAAGTTGCACCATCGATTCCACCTGATTGTTCCTGGCTGCCCATGACAAGGCTTCATCGAGCACAGACTGCTCAACAGCCTTGTCAACCTCTACAGGTTCGGAACCATGCTGTTTAGCTATCCACTCCAAGCGGGCTGGCCACTCAGGAAAAGCTGGAATGGGACGATAAAACCCCAAGCCCTGGAAAGCTTGCTTGGAGAGCCCCTTCTCAGTAAGAAAGCTGTCCAAGGGCTGACCCAAGGCTGCTGCAGTCCTGAGGTTGGGTGCAGCACCGGAACTCTGGACCAAGAGCTCAACAACTTCTGGGCAAACCTTTGCCTTCGCGTAGAAGAGAGCCAAGGCCAACGGGCTGCCCGAGTTGTCGGCCCGGCCATCAAGCAGCGTCCCTACCGCGCTGTTGGCGCGGGCCTCCAGAAGTGACCGGACCAAGCTCACATGGTCCCCCATCACAGCCACATGAAGTGGCGCCATGCCGGTCGTGGTGGATTTTGCAGGATCCGCGCCGGCTTTGAGCACGGCGGTCACTGCGTTCAGTTGCTCCGGTGTGCCGTGGCGGCTCGGAATGGCACCATCCTCTGTGCATGCGGCGCAGAGAAGGTACAGCAGGGTCTTGCCGTCCTCATTGCTCTGGTCCAAGACCTCTCTTTCCTGGAAGCAAGCTTTCAAGTCTGTGCAGCATCACCCTTGCAATCAAGGGCAAACCTAATCTCCTAGCACGAAACTTTTGCTCAGCAAGGTCCTCGGTCAGAAGATGCCATAACCCGTCTGCATCGCCTTGGACACCTAGCTGAACGGCCTTCTCGAAAATATCAGTCTTGGCGGCCATGCTGTGGGACCCAAAGTTGCGCTAGCCAAGTGTTGACAAAAATGCCTGCATTCCCCCACATACGTACACCCAGGTACACTTGCACAAACATCAATTTTCCATTGGCAGTCTTGGCCGGACCCCTCCTAATCCGACAACTTCACAGTTATTGGCTTCTTGCAGGACGAGGGGTCCTGTTTCTGAGGCCCGAAGCAGACCCCAAACCGAATCACAGGCACTCCATGTCGTGGAGATCTGCCGAACTGAGGTGTGTGCATGATAGCGGCGCTGTGGTGATCTGCGGCCTGCAGGAAGCATGGAGGTTGAACTTGTGCGCTGCTAGTGTTCGTAGCGATAGCTACCCGGGAATACTTGTCAGTGATGTTCTGTGGGTGGCGGATAAGACACCCCACTGTTGATACCAGATCTTGTGACGCCACGAACTGCTTGAAACACAGGCTCCAGACCTTGACCAACCGCTTCACCTGGCAGGGCATCGGTCTTCAGCTGGTGACTGGGACTCGGGGAGATGGTCTGATGTGGATTGCAAACTATCCTGCACCAAGCCACGATGACGTAGGAGTGGAGGAGCATGAGCCTGCGCCACCTTAGGAGAAGAACCAGCTTGCAAATTGGACATGAGCACTAAGCGGCTCCCAAACGGGAGTGATCCTGAGTTTCTTGACCAAGATTCGTAATTCCCACCTAGCTCATAAGGCTGGCACTGCACCAGGTGGGAAAAGTCTCTAGACTAGGTGTGCAGAAAAAACGGCTAAGACTTTGAAGATCGAACTGTGTAGTTTCATTCCAGCCAATCCCTCTGAAACCCATGCACCAGCACAGACTCTCTCTCGAAACCTCAGGTCGGCGCAGTTCCTGGGGCAGTGCAAGCTTCTGGCTCTTGAGGTCCTCGAGCGGAGCACTGCACTGCATTGCAGTTGTAACATATGAACAAAGACGCGAGGCAATAGCTGACAGAAAGCGCCAACATCTGCCTGCTGTGGCCCACTACTGCGCCGCACCAAACATTAACCACACCCTTCCTGTGGCGGGTGAGATACCATGCATCATGTAAGGCAAAGCAAGACAGCAAGATCGGCTCCATCAAGAACAGACCTAACTTATGCAGTGAGTGCGATGTGCAAAGCTGCATCAGTGCGCTGACCTGGTAGGTGCGGAAAAGGAGCTGGTGAGCCTGCACATGACTGAAGTGTCTCAATGTTCAATCATGCAAGCTTTCAGCAACCCCGCCATGTGAGCAAGTTTCTTTCGCGGTCACGGATCACAAGGCTGTCCCTATTTCTCCCCCGCGCTCCCTCCTTCCTCCGCTGGCCTGCTTGTAATTGCCCATCTCTTGCTCTTGCTTGGCAATTATGTGGGCCGTGCCGGCAGCCTCCGCAAAAAATGTAACATGATGTAAGTACTTAACAATGAGAGGCAGCCGACAGCGAACGCATTCTTGCAGCATCCTTCAGCTGTGGATACATGCGACGTGGAACCAAACAGGTCCAACTGCGAGCCTGCATGTAGTTTCCGAGAGCCTTGTGCAGTCTGTACACATAATTGGCATCCTGCGCAGGTTGCAATGCTGAGTGAGCTTGGACGAATGATTCGGGCTAGCCCCTCGCAAATGCAGCGGTAACTGCCAAGCTGGACACTGCCTCATTCCGAACCGCGGTTGACGAACAGAGCTAGCATCTGATTACACCCATCATCTCGCCCAGGCATGTGCGATGCACGATGCTGCCGGCTCCTTTGGCACATTGTCTGTCTCGCCCATGAGATAGTCAATCAGCGTGTGAGTCAAGGAATCATTCCTCGCCTTGCCAACCACCTGTGTCACAATCAAACGAGGTCTCATCTGTCTTGCCGGGTGCCAGGATATTCGCCCGTGTGCCAAACTGATGCAGTTTACTGAAAGCCAAGTCTTCTGGATACGAGGCGCCTCAATGGCGTGGTCAATCTCCTTCTCTCCAACCTGCGAGGCTTTGCGGCCGACCCAGCCTGAATGACTAGCAAGCTTTCAGACAATTTCTTTGAGTGGCCTTCAAGTAAAGCCGCAGAGCGGTCGGGTACTCCTCACAGAGCGCGTAGTGCCTGGCCATCTACAACTTGATCGCTTCAGTGCAAGCCGAGTTTTGCAACCCCTGATGCAAAACGAGCAACTTCTGTGGAAGTACCATGTGGAGACAATCGTGTGCACGAAACACCCCTTCCCACTGTGGTAAATACCTACTCTGCGGCTGGCCAAACCTTCATACAAGGCATGGGCCAGAGCTATGAGTGTTCATCATACACGCACATCAGGCTGCCGTTGCACTAACAGGACTACTACATAGTAGCAAAGATGTGTGGACTCATCCACATTCTGTTTGCAGATGCTTAGACCTGACTGTGTGACGCCGACACTTCTGTCTTTACAGGATTGCATCCATCATGCGAGCTATTGCTTCGGCTCTGCTGCAACGTTTCACATCTCAGCACTAACATTAGACTTATGGATTTGATGGGGTGTATGCTCAGACAAGATATTGGACATCGCTTTGGTGTATTCGGATTCAGTAGTCGCTGTCCAACTTGCCGGGCTGGCTTGGCAGCATTGGCCAAAAGGTTGCGCTGCTCCTGAACTCAACGAGTCTATATTTGGTGAGCAGGCTGGCGCTAGCAATCTGGTGAATGCTCCAGGGCAGAGAACATCCACAACATCAACCAGCCAAGTCCAAAAGTTCTCCAAGTGTCGTAGTACTTCGCGATTGCGCGGTGCTGCTGTTGCCTCGCGGAGGACACAAAAGCATGCCATTTAGCAGGCAGCTAGTCTGCTCTCAAAGCCGCAGGCAAGTAAAATCGTAGTATGATCATCCAAGTTCTGAAATGTTGCACGTGCGCTGCAGACACCTCCCGTACTTGCTGTACACCCCTAAACTCTCTTGACCATTCTTGACCCTGAATCCTAAACCCAACCCTGCTCCCTAAACGCCAAGGCATGCTTGTGTCTGGTCTCCACGGTTCAAGGACCGCACGTGCCATGATCGCCGAGGCCGGCTTCGAATGTTGCCATCTCATCCTGCCAAGCTTCACTTAACCACCCACATTGATGATCTCTTGAAGTTGCTTCCTTACAGTCTGGAATTTGGGATAAGCAAGTCAGTCAGTTCTTGAAACAGCTCACGCCTGCGATCCGGCAACTCGCAGCGAGGAATACACGCTGCAACAAACGAACGCAAACAAAAAGCCTGGCTGTGATCTTCACAGCCGCTGCATCACCGCGTCCACACGCCACATTCTTGGAACGCACGCGCTTCCGGCCACGCTGTGGGGCATGTGTCCAGGGGTTTCCGGCGCTTTGAACAGCCATGTATGTATTCATCATTCGCCCCACGTTTGGTCGTTTCCTGTCGTGTCCGGTAGGCGACGACCGGCTAGCACCGGCCCTCTTGGGCATCTCGGCACAGGCCTTCCGAAAGCCTGCGATGTGCTACTAAGCCCTGCCCGCCTTGTTCTGGTGTTCACAGATGGAACCATGCAGACAGGTGCAGCTTATCTCTCCCCCAACCCGCAACACCCAGCTGGCGGCCTGCCGCTCTGCCAGAAGGAAGGCCTCCAAAAGTTTCAATGCCACGCTTTGCACGCAAACACGCCTCCCCAACGTTCAGGCTGCACAGTTTTGCTGAGAGCGCCTCATCTGTGTTTTTGGCCAGGAGCAGAAACTCCACTGCACCAGAGATGTTGCCTCGATTATTCTCGGCTGACTTCTGAACCCCTCCTAAAAGTCTTTTAGCACCCTTATTTTGGGTCATATAGACACCCCAAAAAGTTAAAGTCCTAAGAGCCAATCAGAAGAGCGCCAAGTATTTTCGAGTCTCACATGCTTTGTGCAGGTTCTCACGAACGGTGCAGCCGCAGTCTAGCTTCGTGGATGTTGCTGGACGCATGCCGTGTTGACGAAGCTGGGATCTTCGACCATTCTTTCGGCAATACTCCGCCACCTCAGCACATCTGCACGCCCATGGAGCCAGTACTGCCAGCAGCTTGAGAGGGGCAGGAAGCTGAGGCCCTGACGCGCTCGGCCCCTGTAGCCAGCTTCGTCTCGCGTACAAGCTGGAAAGCCTGCAAAAGAAGCCGAGCTGTCTTCACTCTTTCTTTGTAGGCTCCATGCCAACTCGGAAATTCCTGTCCTCTCCTAGACACGACTCGTGGCGAACCCCTGATTCTCTTTGCTTCCCTCGGCTGAAGAGAAGCAGCCGTGACTGGGAGAATGCAGCCTCTTTTTCTCCGCGATCCGACTTCGCCTGCTCGAGAGCTCGCGAGAGCTCGAAGAGTGGTCCTCCCTCAGACTGCAGCTGAATGCCAAACTGCCGGCAGTCCCGGAGCCAGGGGCCTGCTTTGTCCATGCAGCCATGGTGCACTCTTAGAGCCAGTTCGAGTCAGGTGACATCTTGTGCGTCTCACCCGTCACACGTACTCTGGGTAGAGCGTTGTTACCTCGGAGGGACCGCAGAACTGCTCGCACCAAGCCACCGCTTGCGCAGGCTGTTTCAGTTTCTGCAGTTAAACGGAGACCCAGTGACGATTCGGCTTCTTCTGGGCCCCAAGCATTCCTCTCAGCGAGCCACCGTTTTACCTCGTCCAGTTTTTGCCTTGGAGCAGGGTCGCAGTAAAGGGGCACCCGTAAGTCAAAATACGAAGTCAGCAATGTGTCCGCTGGGGTCGCAAACTGGCTGGCGGCAGAAGGGCGGGCTTTCAATGCTTTCTGAAAGCACCTGGCGTGTTTCAAGGTGGAAGACCTGGAATAGGCCCATGAGACACTGTTTTTGTGCCTACCTGCCGGCATCCTTCATAATCTCGTTGTTGTCTTCGGGCATCATCCACATGGCCTGTCACGGTTCTGACATGCATGAAGACCACGGCCATGATCTCCTCCCGCCAGAGCCTCTAGCCGCGCACACCTGGCAGGTCTGAAGCACATACATCTGCTGGCAGCTTCCAGGGATCGATCGTTACGGGACAGGAGCCTGGCGCGGGCCAGGTCCAACGACGTCTTAAACATGGAGGCTCGGCTGGGCTGTCAGCATTCTTGCCATCCCGAGTCGGAAAAGACTTTTGTCGTCACACCAAACCTCTGCAGTGATGTCGGAACAGGATTACAGCATCCGAACAGCCTGCTATCCTTCGACAAGTCCCTGCAAAAACGAATCAGAGCTCAGTGTCATATACAATATACAAGTTATACAATGGGATTTCACCTGGGGTCCACGCTAGGCAAGCCTTCTCTGCGCTGTCTTCAGCCTGGTAGAGTCATGCTGCTACAGGTTTTTCAGTGTGGCACTGCACGTCATTTCATGGCTCACTTAGGCTCACTTCTAGCTTCTCTCCAGGCACCTGCTTCAAGGCCTGCTTCTTGAAGTACTCGAAGTGCTCTTGCTCCTGCAGGAGATACTTAAGCTGATTGACGGCGTTTCAGCTGCCCTGCTATCCGTCTGCCATGCATGTGCCACAATCTTCACGCATTTTGGTCAATGGCGCGAAAAAAATGTCCTCGAACTGCGACACGAACGGCGTTCCGTCGGGAAGGACCCCTTTCCCCTGGCAATTGCAGGCGAAGGTTCTGTCTGATCATGTCGGAGAACTCAATTACACCTTCGTCCATATCGGCCCGACCCATCTGCTTGACCGCTAGGGGTTGGAACTCGCAATGCATTTGCCAGCCCCGCAACTCCCCCCTCCCGCAGCCTGTGCCATGTCAAGGATGCACTGGGCTCGATTGGAGAGGCAGTCTGCCAAAAGCTGCTCCTCAAGAAAGCTGTGGTGCAAAAGCGGCTTCGAACCCGGTGATGCATTTATTAACTGAAGCATCATCGCACCGGCACTCTCCTCGTGCTCAGCCCCAGTGACAGACCTCCACAGGCCACCCCAGCCAAAGGGAGGGGTGAGACGACAGACCAGACTTTGACACAGCGCCTCGGTCGATCAGCTCGCCCGGGGCGCTCCAGGAATTGGATAGCCTCGCCCTGTGCCGCTGGGTTGGTCAGTACAGTGGGCGCAAACCAGCAAGAATACATCTGTGTCAGTAGAAATTTCGCAGAATGCTGGGGCCACAACAAAGGCTTCATCAGCTGAAATCAGATCGCCTGCAAAAGTGCATTTTGATGCAGACATTTAAGATCTGCACAAGGAATCTCGGGAGACTCCTGCATATGGGGTGGCCTCTTTTGAATAGCTCGAGGCCGTCTTCTCGCCTCTCCTTCGCGGACTTGATTCGCTGATCCTTTGTCAACTTAACGTGATAGAGCAGCATCTGCAATGCTGTGGCATGCACACGAAGATTAACTTATTACGCAAGCACTGACTCTGCCACAGCTTGTCTGCACCAGGGCCATGGATTTCAGTCTCAGCATCCGGCATTGGCACGCATGAGCGCATTGACGGCGCAAAGGGAATCAATCGAAGAGAGCTCTGTGTCTGATGTTGTCTGTTCGCTGAATTATTTTTCCCAGTCTTACTTGAAAAAAGAATGTCGGGCTAGATTTTCATGCTTTTAACGACCAAGCGTGGCATCATGGATGTGAGACTCTGGAGGAGTTTCAAGAATTTACCCAGCCATGCCTTTGGCGAACTCTTTGTTTGTTTATGGTTGTTTGTCGATCCTCCTGTGCTACCACATTCTAAGATGAGCAAGCATCCCAAAAACCTGCGCCGGCGTGCCCTTCTCCGAAGCCACGTTTTCGCGTGCCGCATGCCACAAGCCAGTCACAGTCAAGAGCCTCCCTCGTGCTCTACGCGCTCGGGCCTTCTGGGGCTGGTTCAGATTGTCCAGGCAGATTCGAACCATACTGTCCAGATCTCGAGCTCGCTCGTACCTGCCGGTGTTGCTGTCCACAGGTACGGATCGATTTGGCAGTTGCCCGGGCACGTTTTTATAGACTTCCGCCGGTCCGTTTCCTTTTCACGAGGTCCGCCGCTCGTGAGCACTTTGGACTACGAGACAGTATAAGCTTGGGTGCATCTCATCAGCCCTCCATGCAGCCGTGACTGTTCGATAATCGATAGTTCCCAGCATCATGCTACAAAGCTTCATGGCTTCATGTCATCATATCGTCATTTGGGATGGTGTTTGCCAGAGGTGGCACCATCGGATTGGTGCTGCAGCGTTTTCGGTAGGTAGCTACCAGAGCACTTGGTATCTAGCTGATTCTAGCTGCGTTGGGCTCACGCCACCAAAGCATCTTGATATGCTCCACGAGACCTGGGCCATCTTCTCTTGCAGTGACAGGCGTTGACAATAATTGAAGCTCAGTGTAATGATGTGCAATGCCGCTGGGCAAAGCAAGCATCAGTTTGATTTCTGGCACTAAGAATCCCACTCCTTGGCCTTCGCGAACTGCAGGTGCAGCTTTGGCGTGGAAATCTTCCAGGGCTCACAGGGTACCGTGCCACAAAACTGTAGATCCCCCCTTGCATCTGCACGCGCCGCAACAAGAAGATCTCATTGCCGAAGCCTTGGCCATGAGTGGCGCAGCAGCGTCAAAGTTCAAGTCCAAGATATACCTCAGAGGATTCTCAAACTTGCGGACATCGACTTCTTGGTCGACGCGACAAGTATGCCCACCAGAGCCGGGGGGCAGTGATGCGGCTTGGTCGTAAGAGCCTGCAGCCTCGTACAGCTGGGCGGCCTGTGCCGGATTCAGGCTACGAAGTAAAGACATGTGTGGTTCCGCGATAGCCTGCAGCATTGAAATGGCATGGCCTCGACATACTGCTTCATCTTGTGTAGCACAGCGGCACAGTCGCGGCAAACAGTTGGGTCCTGCCAGGCCGCCAGGGCACGGGGCGGAGGGAGACGACGTGAAAGCATGCAGAGTTAGAGATATCACATATATACATAGGTATACATGCATACATATGCAAGGTGTGTGTATATATATATATATGTATGTGTATTATATGTATATACATATATTATCTGTCTATGCATGTACTGATGTACCTACTCATGCACTATTCACCGGCTCTATTTGTTCATTCCTTTTTACACGCACGAACAAGACGTAATCTGTACAGAGTGAATAGTATACGTCTGCGCACGCAATGTCGTGCTTGTGCACTAGTACCGGTCATTGAGGTCGAGGGCCATCTGCATGCCCCGCGGCAGGTCACCCATCTTCACCGAGGTGCGAGCAATACCGGCCTGTCAGAGTTCAATTTGTCGAAATGTATCGCATATTGTTGAGGAGTTGAACATATCCACAGTAGACTGTAGATAAGCACCGGCAACCAGATCAGTGGCAGTGGCAGTGTCGCCATCGTGCCAGGATTCTCGCATTCCACTGAACATGCCTACCGTGATTGCATTTTCTGAAGGCCGTCTAACACGCCACGAAAACGGGGCAGGGGAGCCTTGCACTGTGATTCGTGCTCCGGCCGGGTGCCTGGTATGTGGTCCCGCCTTGCATTGAGATAATCCACGTAGCTGCCAGTCCAAACATATCGGGTGCTGGATCAAACTGGATAAAGGTCTTTGGAGAGCCGGCAGGTACGAGTGCCCGCTAAGAATGTGATCCGGCCAAGGGGCATCGCCATTTCATAATGGCTCAATGCCTGCAAGCACAATGGTCTCTGCGAAAAAGAAGAGTTGTGCACGGGTTAAAACTACGCCTGTCCCGCTTTAACCTACCAGAAAGCACAGGTCTGCACGCGGCCTGCTCGTTCTGGTTGCGGCCTTCCAGTTGCGACGCGCTCCTCGACTCGAGGTGCTTTGGACAGTGAACAGAGAACGGGGCAACATCAGGCAGTTGCTAGTCGTGGTGCCTTACTTGAGGTTATGCATGCTCAACGCTCAATTGACGAGAAGTTCAGGCTACAGGCAGATACGGGTTTGGGAATTTAAGAGCCCCAAGGCCACCTGATCACGTTGATGCACCAACTCTGAGGGCTAGGCTTCAGGTAAATGTCGCTCAAGCGGTGCGGAGCGTACGTTTGCGCCAATTGCAATGCCTGCGGCAACAGTTCGCATTCATATCCGTCACTGCCCGTCCTGAGCGTTTCATCTTCTCACTGATGCAGTCCGACTGTGTTACACTCTTTCGGGGAGTCAGCGGCCTGATCCCATTCAAGAAAGTCGCAGTGCATGTCCAACGCCTGGGCACATGCAGCTGTGGCAGCTATCGTTCCCGCTAGGAGCTCTCACCTACTGCTGGGAAATCGATCTGGCAGTTGTTCAAAACAGCCAGGGTGGGTTATTGTCGGCTAGGCTACGATCTGATTTTGTACAAGGGTGTTCACAGTGGTCCATCCTTTGAAAGGCCATTCAGAACGGCCCCGGCGTCTGAAGTCGCTTTCAACGGGTGGTGCACAAGTACCCCTCATCATGAACCACTCTGGAATGCTACAGATTTTACAATCTTTCTGGCCGATGGTTTGCCAAGCATCAGATGCTGCGAAGGTGGTGGGAGCTAGGCAATGGTCTATGGGGGCCTGCGTGGGCCTCCCATGCCCGGCATCACGTTGCCCTATGCTCCAAGCACGAAGCAAACCTCCACCTTCCCATTTTGCGAGAAGCCATGCACTCATCCAGAACAGCTGGGCCCAGGACAGTCTCTGGACTGCAACTCTGCAGGAAGTACCTCTGCGATTCGATGGCCACACGTTGCCACTCCCGGCTCTCGCATATGCTGGCAACTGGACGAATAGGCGTGACTGCCACACCAAATGCAGAGTACGTGCGATTGAAGCGGGTCGGGTCGCCTGAAGTCCTTATCATGTGTTTCTCGGCCGCCAGCTGTCCGATAAAATATGTGAACTTCGTGACTCAAGCAAGTACAAAGCGCTGCATATGTCGAGCCCGAAGTTCTGAGTTCGGCGCTCTCTCGCCTTCGCGAAGTTCCCGAAGAGGGCAGACACATGACCGCTCAGGAGGAGCTTGTCCTCCGAGACGTTTTTCCTACAGTACAGTACAAACTACGCAGCTGCATATCATCCTCTGATTCGGTTGCTTTCGACTATCCGCTGTGGGAGGATCTCCAGCTACGGCACAGGAGGCTGTGCGTCCTCGACAGTCTGGATCTTATCCAGGTACATCACCTTCCGAGGACGATGCCCAAACTGCAAGATCAACAAGCACTCTTTGGGAGCAAGGCCATGCCCGGAGCAGGCGCTTGTCTGTATGCCTGCGACAGGATTTGAAGATGCTGAGAGGAGTGGCAGGCTCACAGGAACTGTAGTATCTCCGCAGAAGCATCTCGACCGGCCTTCTTTGCCCAGGCGATGTCCAGGCACTCCAGGCTCCTGCCAGGTTTGACTAAGACGGCACAGACTTGCTGAAATTTCTCTCGAATGGCGAGCATGAGGTCTATGAACCTGAGAAACCAATCCGTGAGAAGCTGCTGTGGGTTTCCATCAGCACTGCGAATTCATGGCTCTGCACAATTCCCTGCCCTGAAACGGTCCAAGGTTTTGCGATAGGCTTCACTATTGTCTGACAAGCAGGCATGCCTGCTGGACTGCATACTTTCTGACTCAAAGCCAGTCAGATGAGCTGCTTGCGTGTGGCTAATCATACCTCTTACAGTTGGAGAATGACGCTCAGCAAGTGCTCCGTGCCTTCTGCCCAACGCCAGCCACAGGTCTCGCCTGAACCATCAACCGGTCTCTGGCAGAGATACTTTCGCCCAGCTGACACTACCAGATCGCAACTGCTCTCTCACGGGGTAAAGCCACAATGATATCTCGCTGAGGGGCGAGTTCAAGGCCAGTCCGATCTTGAAAGCCAAGGCGAAGCGATTCAACGCCAAGGCCTGCGGTTCGCATCACAGAGCCGACTGCAACTTTGTCACGGTGACTGCATCTCCCTGCCACTTGCAACGACTCTCTCTGTTTCAATTAAACCATGTGAGCACTGGCCTGAAGGAAGCAGCCCTTCTGTCGCTCGAAAGTATCCATGACATGAGCTTGGCTGCTCATATCATGCCTGCCACGGTCAGGATGCTCATAGCAGGGGGGCTAGTCATGACCTCACAGTTTTATCGTGTTTTATCGTGCTCTACTGTAAAGAGCTAAAACAAGAACACATCGCGGAGCACTCGGAGATTCTTTGACATAGCGAGCCTTCAGTACCGCAAGTTGATTCAATTACCTCCAAATGCCTTTCTGAGCAGCGTGTCCTAAGAGGTATTGTCCAAAAGCAAGCACACAGCACGGACGACAAGCCGGGCAGGCGAGTGCAGCCGAAGGTGGGAGAGAGTACCGCTGCTCTGCTGGCAGACTACAGTACCGTCCTCGGTCGGACAGACTGAGCCGCATGTCCAGGAGCAAGCAGAGCATCACTTGGCATTGTCGATATACGTGCCAGCCAACGAAAACTACAATCGAGCGCTGCTGCAGTTGGTCTTCCGCAAAGGACCATAAGATCGTTCAAGGGACGGAAACGAGGACGCCGACTTGGCCGTGCTGAAGCGGAGTCGGCGCGGCCTCTTCAAAGCTTGATTTTTTACGCAAAACCCCGCCACTATTTCCTCGGACCGGAAGGTCCAGCAAAGACTCGTAAGCTCAACATTCCCGCAAGCAGCTCAACCTTCACGCAGTCATCTAGCATGCAGCAATGCCTCGATATGAAGCTGGGCATCTGCACTCAGATCCAGCTGGCCCAGACATCGCACCCCGCTTTTGCCGACCTCTCGCAGGAGCTTCGGTTGTCTGGGTGTTTGAACGTGTTTGACCGTCTGTTTCAAAAGCTGTCATGCGATTTGGTTGCTGCTTGGGTCCTACTCCTAGTGCATTCGGGTGCACGGGCTACCGTTGATTGTACGTCCTATCCCACCTTTCCACTCTCGCTCGCACAGTTGGCCGGCAGATGCAACTTTTTCGTCTGGCACTTGTCCGGGTGTATTCCACATGCCGATCGGCTGATTGAACGCCACTGCGCCGGAGAACATGGCACGCATGTCTGTCACTGCAGAAGTATTCAACGTGCCGATCGGCTGATTGAACGCCTCTGCATAGTAGAACATGGAACGCATGTCTGTCACTGCAGAAGTCTTCCACGTGCCGATCGACTGATTGAAGGCCGTCGCGTGGTCGAACATGTAACTCATGTCTGCCACTGCAGAAGTATTCCACGTGCCGATCGACTGATTGAAGGCCGTCGCGTGGTAGAACATGTAACTCATGTCTGTGACTGCAGCCGTATTCCACGTGCCGATCGGCCGATTGAAGGCCTTCGCACCCCGGAACATTCCACGCATGTCTGTCACAGCGGAAGTATCCCAGGAACTGATGTCTTCGTTGAAGTCAGCGTAGGATTCGAACAGTAGGCGCATGCTCGTCACCGCTGAGACGTTCCACTGCGCTATGTCACCATAGGTTGACGCAACATCGATTCTGTTCTCATAGTACCATGTGTGGACTGCGCGAGACAGCTCCGCACTGCTTTCAAAAGCTCGGGAGGAGGCCGCAGGGACCACGAGAAGCAAAAGCAACATGGCCATGATCTGCGGTGCGATTCCAAAACCGGTGAGCCAAAACCTCCGAGAGCCTAGAGATCGCAACGTCTTCTACAACAAGCTGCAAACTCTCCAATAGAGCTGAGCTTGTCAGCTTGTCGTAGATGTCGTGCCATGGCAGCTCGCTAGGTAAGGTCGCTGTGTAACACTCTACATCAATGCCATTGGGGCATTGTGAATAACCCGATTGCAACATGCAAACATAATGCCCACATGTGCAATCACTGGAAAAATCTTGCAGCCACGGCGATGAGCCTCATCAAGCTTGTTTCAATGTGGTTCCTGGGAAGCGTCTCGGCTGGCTGGATCTCTTTGCAGCACTTGCACCTTGTTCTTCGAAGGGTCGCTTGTGCTGGATGCCCTGTGTGGCCCGCACCCAGGACATCCATGTGGCGCCGATAGCCATCCACGCGCTGCCAAAGCCTCAAGCAGCCGACCCCAGAGACCACGACAAAGCTTGGCCGAAGCATTGCCAGAGGCATCATGTGTGAAGCGTACTTTTCCTCGCTGTGTGAGACGCCTGGTGAGATCTCTTGGAGTTCCCAGGAGGGGTCAAGGCGGGCTTGAATTCACAAGTGACCGCAACATACCGCAACGCCGCCAGGACCTGTTGAAGTTGGATCTGCTCTTGTGCCACCTGCCCCTTTGACTCATGTCATCGAAGGTAGCTGATCTCAAGGCACAGTAGGACATAACTTGCATGTAGCGCAACACGTCTGATCGCTTGCAGGAAAACGACAAGAGCCATATCTTCAAGAACCTGAAAGGCTTTTGACCTCTAGAGTACAAACCTACAAAAGAGCTGCTTTGGCTCAGGATGGAGAAGTTGGCGAATCTGGCTGCGAGACATCTTCCAGCAGAGAGAGCAAGTCGCGTGTCCTGAGGGCCACTTGTCATAGCTGTCTACTCTTGTCTTTCCTGGGCTCTTTTCCGATTTGCTAGGGACGCTGCTTCAGGACCGGGGAGTCCATGCTGCGTGGATATGTTTGGGCGTGAGCGCGTGGCTCTCTAACCTCTAGACATCCTCTAGGCTCACGGCAAACCGGATGCAATGCAAAGGTCCGAATTCTGGACCAGAACCCATCGTCTCCTGCTCAGGTCCACATTGGATGTTTCGGCCAAGCCTTGGCTTCGTGCTGCGAAGGCAGTTAAGTCTCAACACTTGCTACAAATACAGGGCCTTGCAGAAGTGGCTTGGCACGAGTGCTCAGAGAGATCTTTGCCCGACCCCTTCCCTTAAGACTTGCAATTCGCTGAGTCTCTGGTCGGCTTGGCCAGCCATTCCTCGTGGCCTCGGTGCGCGACGCATAGACAAGCTGAGGAACACTGACAGCTGTTCGCTCCAAGCCCCGTGCGCTCGACAGCTTGAGCTTGCAGGAGCTGCAGCTCCGAATCCTGGGACTCGGCACAGAGGACAAAGGGCAACTGCCGCACCGCTTAGCGGAGCTTCGCAGACTCTGCAATGCATTGTGTGCGGCATTTCAGGCCGCAGCCTCTCGCAATGCTTCCGACGCGAACTTGAGAATGTCACCTGAAACGAGAGCCAGGAAGAAGCCCTTGTTATTCCTAGCTTCTGAAACCAACTGCCCTCTCAAAATGCTCGAGTGCCTGTCTCAACCCGACCGTCTGTACGGGGCTGGATCTGAGCCAGGTGGCCACCCGGTGGCATGTGCTCCACAGCGATGCTGACCTCATACGAAGTGTCGCACGGGCAGACGTCTTGCTTGCTACCAGACAGGCAGTCAGGTCCAACTCGCCTACCATGCTTCTGCATCGGCAGTGAACTTCAACTCATTCAAGTGCATGCTGCAAGACCATTCAGCTGAGTGGTGTCTGCCAGTGTTTAGACAAGCTACAACTTCCCGATCCTTGGATCCGCTCAAGAATCAGGAGAGTCCAAATCTGCGCGAGCTGAGATGCCAGGCGCAAGAGACAATTACACGACAGTGCATGTTTTTTTGTCTAGTCGCTTCGGACAAGATCGGATCAGCAGTATCAGGTCCGAGGCACGCCCCGCAGTTCCTCTGAAGCAAATTCCAGAGCGTCCCCGTCCTTACATCAGCAAGGGTCAGAAACGACCGCTAGAGTATCTATCGTTGTGTCTTTCAACGTCGGAACTCGCTCCCATCTGCAGGCAAGCTTCCCCTTCAACGGCGACCATGACAAGTTGACGATCCTTACACGAGTACATGGAGACATTGGTATCACGGATAAGACAAAGGACAAACGATTTCTAATTGACGAGTCGCAGCCCTCAGCTTGTGTGAGGCCTGCTTCAGCAACAGCGGCATCTTCTTGACCTGGGCGTGGGAGAGGCAAACCCGATTTGCAATGCAAGAAACTCGCTTCGAGGCGGGAGGCTAAAACCAGCATCACGTCCCGGTCGCCCGCGAACTCTGCACGAGGAAACCAATCAGAGAAGTCCTGCATATTCTCGCGTGTGCGCCGCTGGGCTCTGCCAAAATCTTGCATTGACTGCGTGAATCACTCATCATCGATGGCGAAAACACTTTGACACCAAGAACAAGGTCATGGTTGTCTTTCGACAGGCCTTACGATTACGAGACTCAATCTGTGCAAGCATCCTGATCAAAGCGAGCTCCTTCCCCAGCGCATCGGAGTGACGAGTGCAGCGCTTACTCTGAACTGCAGCCAGGACCAGGTCCTGGAGAGTGGGCGAGGCTGTGGATGCTACGCCTGTGTAGAGATGATTCGGTGCGCAGGGATAGTGCTGGAGGAGGCTTTGTCGTGGCGAGATAGTCATAATATCTCATACATCTCATGGCACGATCTGAGCCCCGAGAAAACTCAGATGGCGACCCAGGACTGACTCAACGCAGTTGAAGCGGCTTGATCAAGCACGGGAGGACAAGCCTTGTTGTCTCGCAAATGAGGAGCTGCATAACCTTGTTCGTGCATCAGCTGCATGGAATCAAACCTAAATTGTCTTACCAAATTTGCTGGCTTCGCAAAGATCTGTTGCGAGGCTCAGGACTCACATTGAAGCCTATATATACCACGACATGGATGATGTAGGCAAAGCTTTGCAGCTCTGTGGCGTAACACCGTTGGCTGAAGCTGCACTGCCACCTGGGTGGTCACACCCTGGCCCTAGTCACATCGGTTCTCAGATAATGGCCATGGCCAGCTGCGTGCTCTCACAGGCCCTCGTAAGTTGAGGCCCGGGCCAACATGATGTCGAAGTCGCCGGTGATTGCTCGAGAAACGTGATCGAAGATCTCGTCCTTTAAACATGCAGAAGCCGATCACTGCCATTTTCCTATATCATGGCATAGAGGCATAGACTGCAAGATCAACATCTCTCAAATGTGCTTGCAAGAGCTCGAAACGAGCAACGACCGCAGGGACAGGCTTTCTGTCGGATTCTACCAGTGTCAGCTCTATGGCTGCCGCTTCGTGAACTGCTTTGTACCGTTTCTGAGTTCGCCACCACAGACCAAGGATATGTCAGGTGCTTTTGGATCCTTTGCTTGCACCGACGTCGAGAGCTCCGATGTACAAGCACTGACAGCAACAGCGGAGGTGTCAGCATGCCCGGTTGCGGCACGAGATTCACTGCCAACGCGAAGTCTTTGTCGTTGCGCAGCCGCTCAGAAGCATGCCCTAGGTGGTGCTTACACGGGAGTACATGTGCATTCATACGAGTACTACGACATCCCAATACCGCATAAAACTGGGCACAGGCCGGCCGGGCGCTTTGCTTAGTTCGAGTACCCCTGGAAACAGCTGGAACAGGCAACGCAACTTCTGACGAGGTCTAGGCCAAGAAGCGTATTCTCAAGGAGGTTCCCCGAAGTACTGAGTCTCTGGATGCAGACATGAAGCTGAAGTTGCGACAGTTGCTCTTTAGGAGGAACTCCACCACCTATTCCACAGCTAGTGAGGAAACGCGACAGAGAGGCAAGCCGGCGAAGGTGGGAAAAAATGTCTGCATGCATCAAGTCTATTCAACCAGTTTTGTTCTGCCAGCCACACGATCTCTCCCGTCCGGCGGCCTCTTTGTCGTCCTTGATTGCATCCGTCGCATATTTGAGTGGAACGCCTCGAGGCTCCAGGACTGCTGGGAGCATTGGAGCTGTCAAAACAGAGCCGCTGGAGTCGGGAAGAAGCTTGCCATCCCTCCGCTCTTGAAGCCTGGCCGAGTGTCCAAGTTCGCCCATGGCCACCTGGCAGAGTTCTCGGTCTCCCCGCAGCACTTCGGAGAATTCCTCAAGATTTCATGGGCGTGGTCAATTTTCGTTGCAACACTTGTAGGGAGAAAGCTGACAAAGGATTCCAAGGAAGCCCATCAACCAAGCTAACAAGATGCTTCTGTATTATGGAACCTGGGTATTGCTGGCGCATGATGCCTCTTGCTCCCTCATCTGCCCCCACTCGTCGAAGGTGAGAAGGTAGGTCCAGGGTTCAGGGTTAACCGAACTGCAGGCTAAGATTGTTCCAGGCATCCGGAAAAAGAGCGCTCCGACCTGCGAGACGTCCACACGGACGTCGGCAGTCGACGAAGTCACACTATCAATGACTGCCGGCTATCATCGGGAGATACAAGCATTGATAAAAGAGATGTCTCAACGAGTATGTACCAGACTGATCGATGACGAAAAGCTTCTCTTCACTAGGAAGTGCAAAATCTTGAATCCGTCGGGGTGCCTGGTTGCGACAGAAAGGCCAGGGCATCCTTGCGCACCAAGGGCGTGACCTTCCTGATGACATCTTCACGAAGGCACAAAAATTGAACGGGTCAAGTCCGCAGTGCTTGCTGGCAAAAAACCCTTCTAGTCTGATGTGGGTCTGCAACTCATCCGGTCCAGCGTTTGTAAGGTAAGTCAGGATGCTTGCAGCTGGTGAGTCGGGCGAGAGTTACGACCTCGTTCCTCAGCTGGGCGTTGTGGACAAAGTTGGGAAGCTCAGAGATCAGCCGCAGAATCGCAGCTTCGAAAAGTTGCAACAAAAGCAGTCATGTTATTGCTCTGGACAAGCATATCATGCATCATGGACGGCCTTCAGCCGCCACATCTCATGATCACTGGGTATCTTCTGAAACTGTGAAGCAGGTCCACAAGATATCAAACTGAGTCATTTCACTGAGTGAATTTCACTGCATGCAGCTTTGAGCTCGTCTGATTTGGAACATCTGCTACCAAAAATCAATCAGGCTACGTTTGATGGCCCTGGATGGGCTCGAAGCTTCGACACGGATTTACTTTGCACTTAGCTAAGGGGTTGAGGCAACACCAGCCGTCTTAAGAGTTTGCAGTGTCCTGCTGAACCTCTTCACTTCTAGAAGGCACAGCCATGCGTTGAGCTGCAGTCTCCCTCAATACTTTACAGATGTAACCAATCTCAAACCTGTCGACCAAGGCACGAGCCATCTCCCCCACCCATGCACCAATCCAGGAACTCTTCATACCTGGCAAGAAGAAAAGCCAGACGATGCTTGCAGACTCCTCTTGCCGCTGTGATGACAGGCCGGACTCGCTGCACATTGCCGTCAGTGTTGCGGTCTATGACCTGCAACCGCGTCCCAGGTTTGCAATCAGCTTGAAGCAGCACATGCACTAATCAATCAAGCATGTTGCTAGGCTCTCATAACAAATGTCCTGTTGAGCCTATTGCAGAGATGTGACAGGAAAGCTGGTCGCAGCATGGAGGACAGCATCTCGCGACAAGGGCGAAACCCTGCCAGCCTTCATCAGGCCTTCAACTGCAGCATTGGTCCACCTGCTGCAAACACAGGTCATCTTACCATCAATCGCTGGTGCTGCTGCTGACCTAAGCTGCCATGCAGGTGCAGTCTGCCGCGAGGCACCTCTTCTTGTCCAGGCGACGGAGGAGCTGCACGAAGGCTTCCCGACCTCATGCGCCGGAAAGTGAGGCAGACTTGGCCCAAAGCTGCAGCTGAAGCTTTCTCCACATCCAAGCGGCTTAGGACTCCCGTCTGCTCCACGTCTGCCTTTCGGAAAATGGCCTGTGCTCCGTCGTGTCGCATGACTGGAATCTGGAACTGCAACAGACTTGAAGCTGAACAGCGTGTCCTGCGAGAGGCGGATTCCCAATTGAGAAATGTTTACTGGACCGTGAAGCATCAGAATTTGAGCATCCACCCACCAGCACCAAACCCTGTACCGCATGCTGGACCTTGATGAGGGTCACATCGGTCGCATTGAGAGAAGCATGGCTTGGCATAGCTAGCCGAAGCAAAGTGAGAAGGAACAGGGAGCGCACGGTAAGAATGCAAATCGAATCCTGCCAAGTTCTCCGCATTCTTAGCCACTACAAGCGGCAGTAGTCGATGTCTTCGCACAATCGGCCCTGCCACTAAGACTACGCCACATGGAAAGTGAAACTGCTAGGTACTGCACCTTGGAGCCGAAAGTCTGGAAATGCAGGCGAGGTTACATCAACAGCGGCTCGGCTTTCGAGATGGCCGTGACGAGAACGAAGCGCCCGCATGGTACAAGCAATCATTTGTGGGTGGCAATACCTCTGGGTTGAGGCACGTAGAGTCAAACTGGTTGCCAAAGTAGGCCAGGGCGCCAAACCGGCCTTCTTCAAGACGATGCGACTGCAGCACTAGCCGTTGGGCGTCTTCAGGCGCATAGCCCTCTCATCCCAGATTGCCGACAGAGTGCATGCGACCTCCACGACGAGTTGCCCTGGCAGCCGCATCCTTGGTTGCTGCCAGTCGTCTTAACTTACTGCCTTCAACTGCTCAGTCGTCACGACTTTCTTGAAGGTAGGGCTGGATGGAACTTCCAGGCTCGTTCGTATTGCTAGGGGGCCCCGCCCCTCAATCTGAACTGTCATACTTTCGGTCTTTGCACTGCTGCAATTACATCGCCGTACCGAAAGCTTAGTTTTCCTTTCTCGTCGACTCTTCGTCCTAACAGGGCTGTTTCGTCATCCCTGTTATTGTGAAACAACAACACTGGGCCAGACTTGACAGTCAAGCATGTGAAACAGTCATCTCATCCCATCTGCTTTCAGTGTTCAGTTTTGCCTGCATCTGCTCTTACTCAATCATCTCCCCAGATTGCAGCTGGTTTTTGTCGTAGAAGTTGTCCATCATCGTGCAATTGATGTCGTCAGGCCTCAGTCAGTCGCACGTCGTTCGTGCGATGAGCATGAACGATGGATTGCTTTAGATTAGGCTTGGGAGGCCAAAATGCCGCAGCTCAGCCATGTCTTCTCAGCACCCGACATAAGAGTGCGATCCAGCTTTTTCATGCCATGCTGTGCAACACCCAACCTCGGACGAGTCTGCAAGGTGCTCACCAAGTCATGTTGATGCCCACTTCAGAACGAAACCACCTGCAAGATCAGAACCTGGCTCACACCGAAGAGCCCTTTAAACAGAGCAAACAAATGCAGTCCAGCATGAAGCCTACGACGACATGCAAGCTTCCTTTCCCAGGCTCCACCACGTCTCAAGCATATCACCAGCTTTTCTGGCACCTTAGGTGCCTCAAGGCTGATTGGCAACTATAGGGAGATTAAAGAATTCTTCCGCTGGCTTCAGCAATCACGGAACTTAGTTGTCAAGATGCGTCAGTCTGTTGAAGCCAACTACACTTCTCTGCCGCGCTGATCTCATTCGCTCACTCCGTGCAGATCAATCGTGCGAGGCACCTGGCTCAATGCAGATGCATGGTTGTACTCTATGCATGACCTCTGACATGAAGTGGCATGCCCGCTCAAGACTGCTGCGAACCTGCTCAGAATTATTTTCCACATGTTGCTTTGGCCTGTTGCAATACGCCTGAGGAAGCACAACACTCCCAAAGCCGCCTCACACGCTGAATGATGGACCAATGGACCAGGAGTACTTGAAAGCCTCTTCGTAGGCGATCGGAGGCACTTCCTTGGGCAGAAGCTCATTTGCGCTGCATCGTAGGACTGAACCTAGCTTGCAGCAACATCAACACAGCACGTTTGCGACCTAGACTCCCATGCCTCGTAGTTGATTTGCGTCGCATCCTGCCGGAAAGTGGAGGTTTCACTTAGCGGTGGCGGAACATGGCAGGACAGACATGCCTAGTGCCATAGTCATAATGCACCGAGGTTATCAACCGTCAGATTCAGATCTTCGTAGATCCAATTTCTTCACACCAGCACAGCTCTGAAGACTTAGGTGAAAACAGGAACTCCAGCAAGTCTTAGTGTACTTCTTGCGGGTTGCAGTCAAGCTGTTCACGCTTCCAGGCTCGTGCAGCATGCGAGCACCGCACTGCACACTGCCACAGAATGATCGAGCACACATAGTTTTTCAATCTTTCCTACAACTTGTCCTTGCAGACCTGCGCTCCGAAGCACAGCTGTCCGATTCCTTCGAAGTACTCACCGGTGACCACATCCTGTTGCGAGCCGCCAGAGCACAGGTCGTAACCACTTGCGCTACTTTCACTGCCTGTGCTACCAAGCCAGTGATCGCAATCATGGCGAGGCGTCCATTATTCAACTCCTGGCCCAGATGTGCACAGCTATTTTTGAAGTGCGTGCTGTCTGTCTCTTCTCTTGCACCGCAAAACATGGAGATCTCCTGGCACTGGACGTCCTGCCATCTGTTCCAGACCTTGGAATCATAGCTCTCGTCGATGATGCCCTGACACCATTTGGGGCGTCCAGGCGAGACCAAGAAGTTTAGGGTGTATCTAAGCTAGCGACTGGCGACTCAAAGATTCAGGGTTTTGTTTTTCTTTGAGGGCCTTTGGTGTCTGACTGTGACAGCGTCTCCCAGCCCTATTGGGTAGACACAGATTGCAAACGCATTGAACAAATGTCGGTTTAGGGGTTTTTGGTGTCCCTGGTTCCTGTGACGTTCTTGAAATGGAAACATTGAAAAAGGGTCTTAGAGCTGAACAGGTTTAGGGCTTCAGGGTGGACAAGGTCGACCTGTCCTTCCAGCCGAGGACATCCCAAGGTCGGTCTGCCGGCGGCTTGCAGATGTAGGTTGTCACCCACTCCAGGCACATGATGGTGAACACGACCTGCCACATACCTTAGCAGCAACACCGCTGCTGAAGGGGGTTCAACTCAGGCGACTATCCAAGAGGAGCCACCGCCCATTGGAAGCTGCGTCATGTTGACAAGCGGATTGTTCGACATCTTCTCTCCAATGGCGTAGTCCTCGGTGCAATTGACCCCAGTGTACATAAGCTACAAGTATTGGCTCGTAGTCTGCGGTTTTCTACCATGTCTGCTGTCACCGTATCCGATCCGAGTGTCACCCAGGAGGTGGTATCCCGCCGACACATGGAACCAATGCAGCACAGCGAGCCTGTGCTTCGAACATAACACGAGACTTCTCGGATGGCCAAGGATACATTTGCACAAGCCCAGCTGCATTGCCACACGCCCATGCTTGAGCTCGATGGCACGAAGCCTTGCACTCCATACGCATTGCCGCAAGTCTACAATGAGTCTCAAATCGGAGTCTACAAATTGGTCTGATGTTCTGGAACATGTGCCGTTTCCGATTCAGCCATGCGTCTGCAAGACTTCTTTCTCCGTTGACCTTGCAGTGATGCCTGGCACGGAAGGTCTCCAGATCTCTTCTAACTTCCATCAGCTAACGAGGCTTCTGCCCTTCCGGACTGGGACTCGCGCCAGCAGGGTCCCAAAAGCTGTCCTGGAACGGGCCGCCTGTTCCCACGATCAGCTCCTGACGATGGGTGAGGCTCCCTGCTCTGCAGGTCTAAATCGAGCATGCAGGCAGTAAAGATGAACCGCTCCACTTTACAAATCGGAGGGATGGGAGAGGGTTATTTGGGGACTCCACCCCAATGGCGGCGAGGGGGGGGGGGGTGGTATGGCGAAGTGGCGGCTTCACCAAGAGAGCAGCTGGAGAAACTAATCCAGGCCGGATAACATGACTCCATGACTCCTGCGCCGCTCTCAGAGCTCTAAGTGGCGAGTCAGTGTAAACCGACCTCATGTTCAATGCATGTCGAAGACTGTGCCGAGCAGATTGTGCACAAAAGTGAGCCCAGCAGCCAGTCGCCCCATGCCGTGCCTGTCAGACCGTTCCTCGGTGATCACATACTAGTATCATGCTGCTCTCGGATCACGCACTTTATGGTCAGAGGAGGCCCCATCCCTTCAACCCGGTCCTGGTTCTCTGTTTCTGTCCCAGGCGCTGGAAGAACATGCCGATGATGGCCATCATGGCCAAGCGGCCATTGGCGATCTCCTCATGGACAGTGGCATAGCTGGCTATCTTGCTCCCGTGGCTCAGGCTTTCCAGCAAGGTGCGAAAAGGACATGGACATGGCCCTTTCAGCCAAGTCTCTGCAGAAAGCTTCTTCTCCTTGGTACCCTCAGGGGACTTCACAAAGCCGTTCGGGATGCCCAGGTACCTACAAGTAAAAGAGCAGAGCTTGCTGATGTCACGTTTGTGGACTCAGGACACTGACTCAGGTGTGCAATGAGTGCCACTCGCAGTATTCACATGTATGCATTCAGTGTCAAGCCCGGCACGGGGGATTCAACAAGGACTGCAGACGCATTCCAACGTGGACACTTAGTCTTGGCAAATCTCGGGAAGTATGCTGTTGCGTCTCAGGCGCCCGGCATTCTCGAAGTCACCAGGGGCCCGTGTGGGATCGTCGACATACCTACAAGGCAGAATCAAGATTGCAAGGATCTAGCCTCAACATGCCTCAACGTCCGAGCTCTAATCACGTCTGACTCCTTTGCATTGCGAGCGACTGAAAGAGCTCGACAGAACCAGCGAAGGCTACCATCTGTGCCCAGCCGGACAGAGGCACCTTTGTTCAGGGCGTTTCAGCCAGTGGCTTTGCTCTGCGATGCGAGCCAACACCTTGCTGAAGGCTGCGAAGCCAGTGGGGACATCGGTGAACCTGGGAAAAAGCGAAACGTCAGGCGAAACGGCTGCAAACCCGTACGCGCGAAGTCGGACGGGACAAGAAAGCCGTTCGCGCCGGGCCGCTTCAGGCCCAGAGAAGGGGAGAGGTCACCGGGCCATCGGTAGTACTCTGGGACAATATATCCCAAACAGGCCAGCCTCGGAATTGTCGGGAGAAGAGGGTTTCCAAAGCCACGTACTAACGGCTAACCTGGGGCAACTACCCTTCAATGTGCCCAGGAAATGCGGACTTGCTGCTGCTTACATCTTCGATTTCACTATTGATTTGTTGCATCAGCTCGCTCGAGAGTGAGCGAGCGGGTGCAAATTCATTACAAACCCTTTGCCACTGGAGAACCAAGATGAAAAGCACCATGAATGCCGGCACATCCAGAATCCAAACGGAGGGTAGTTGGAAGCTTGTCTGTCCACCTGTCCGGCGGCTTTAGAAGGCCTGGACACGCTGCACCGCGGGTTTAATCTTCGGCCGGAGGGCATGGCTACTCTGCCGTGCTTCAATTCCACGTATCGCCGTCGGCGGAAGGAGGCAGCATCGCCACCCTTTCCACTGTATGGGGGCAAATAGTCAAAGTCGCTACAAACCCAGGTGCCGCAACATACGACCACTGTTGAACTTGAGCTGCAAGATAACACGGATGCATGCTACGCCGGGTCCTTGGTAAACCCGAGCGGGTCCCAGAAACCAGCAGGAGCTTGCACCTGGAGAGTCAGGACGGGCTTGTTTTGGATGATTTTGCTGACATGAGGCCACCTAAAATCTGATACAAGTCTTGGCGCTCCGAGCTCGTTCTCAAACGCGCTGGAGCCGGTGTACCTCCAGCTTTGACGCAGCGCGACCAGGGCAGAGGCAGAAAATAGCAGACTGGATTCGCTCGACAGGGCGCTGCTGCGCCTTCATCTGTCGAACGACCACGGAACCAAGGACCCAAGTTGCAATCCGAGCTTCAGTCCATATGGAGTGCCGAACAGCCCGTTCTGGACCCAAAGGCCGACAATGGCCATCATCGCCTCAGCTTCGGCACACGGCTGCGCAACACTGCACCAGAGCCCACAGGTAATGGAAGGCGCAAGCCGCAGAACGACTTGGTACAACAAAGGGGATTGACTCGAAAAGTAAGAGCTCATTTAAACTAGTTTTACCTCTTTTTCTGTTGCTTGCAGAGTCGCGAGGCGACCATTGGCAAGCTCGGAGTTCCTTCCACGTGTGCGCGCCTGCGCGGCGAACCCACATTCCGGCGACGTGCAAACCCCGCTGTGAATTCCTCCATACTGTACGGCTTGTACAGTCAGCTCAAGAACTATGAGACCGCGACATCTGTCTGCGAAGAAAGTTTACCAAGTTCCATTCAGTCACAGCAGGCCTCGTCGTCTGCCATAGGCTCAGCCGTAATGCCAAGGACCATGTTACCGTAACCCAGCCTCGAAGGCTCGTGAAGCAAGACACACACTGTAGCACACTCTGGTAATTCTTTTTGTAGTCCTTTAGTGACTTAGTGATCTTTGGTGTTTCTACAGGGTGGGCAACCAAGCGACTTGCCCTTGCCGTAGTTGCCAGGGTCTGCAGGATCCACCGGCTGGTTGACGCAAAGCCTGGGCTCTCGCCATTCACTACCCATCGAAGGCTTGCTAGAGTTTTGGCTTCCAATCCGTGCCATGGCATGGCATGGCTACTCTTATGGGATCCTTAAGGGAGGGGGTTCTAAGAGGGGTATATAACCCAATAATCCCCAATTCTCCCTAGGGCTCCCTTAGGTTCCCTAAAGCTCCCTAAGGATCCCTAGGACCCTCCCCGCTTGAACCACCCTCCCGTAAGGATCCGATAATACTCTCAGCAAGCTGGCTCATAGCAGCCGCAGAGGGCGACCCACTGCAGCCAGCCCTCGGCAGGCACCTCCAGACTCGCAGTCAGTGCAACGTCGCATCCGAACTTCGAAACAGAAGATTGGTAACATATGGTAGCGGCGGCCCATTTTTGACAAGTAAGTGTCAACACCTCCCGTGCGCTAGTGGAACCTTACAGCACTGACCACTTACTAACTGAAGAGTCAATTGAGTCAATTGAAGAGGTTGAGGGTTCAGCTGTGTTCTGCTTTCCCGCGTTCTTGCAGCGAGTAGGGTTGACGCTTTAGCCAGCAGTGCTTCGTGCTTTGGGCTTAGGTGATTTGTCAGCCCCCCCAGTGCCTTGGTGATTGCACCGAGTCCATTGGGCACATCCGCAAATTTCAGATTCGAAGATGGCGCCAAGTAGCCCGGGAACTTGAAGTATTCTGGAACTATATATCCCATCGTGGCAAACCTGTCGAAACAACTCCAAAGCAAAACAAGCAAAGCTCATTCATGAATGAATGTCTGCATGACTTCTGTTCCAAGCTGCATGGCGACTCGACCATTCTTGATCTCGGACTCTCTGCGGCGCCGGAAAGTCTCAACATCACCATCCTGATAGTGGACACTTGAAGAATCGGCTTTACAAGACTGTGCTTTTAATCCATACAGCTTTACCATGAAGGAGGTATCTTGCGATGCTCAACACAGGCATCATACCAGTAGGGTAAGCTAGAGGCATGTAGACAACAGCACCCCGAGGCGTAATTCCGTGAAGTGCTTCACCCTGAGACTTTCTGGAACTTTCATGCCGACGCAAGTCCTTGGCGAGACCGAGCGGGTCGAAGTAACCCAGAGGTGCCTGCATTTCAGCAACAAGCACCCTCAGCCTCTTAACCCCGAACTGCATTACGCGTTCCCGAATTGTTGAACACCGTGCTAGCGCCTGCACACCGAGTTCATTCTCAAAGGCTCGCAGAGGAGAGTCTGTGTAGTTCGTCCAGTCGCCCCAGGCCGAGCCTACGTCGCGGAACGCTTCGGTTTGAACCTACATCCCAAACCGTTCGGAACGTGTGGTTTTTTGCAAAGGAGTCCAAAGGAGTACTGTTGTAACCAAGGCTCCTGTGAGTCCATCCTGGAAAAACATGCCAATGATCGCCATCATGGCCAGGCGACCATTTGCAAGCTCGGCATTGAGCTTCTTCTGACGAAGCTCAGGATCGCTGATGGCCTGCTACATGGATCTACACTTGGCAAACGACATGCTTTTTACCGGGAAGCAGCAGTCAAAACAAACAAACACGTACCTGCATGCGCTCATCGCACGTGCAAGTTCACGCAGAATAGGTGGACCAAAACAGAAAGACATACAGGGCCGTGAGTCAACGGGGACATCCCCAAATCCATGTCAGTCAGAACCAAGCTGGCTTGCTTGTGCACGAGGTACTACTGTTACAGGCGTTTGGACCATGGCCTCTGCACAAAAACGAGGCAACCTTTGCTGTAAACTGTTCCAGGATGGTTCAGAACATCGCAAAACCGAGAACTTCCAGCTGCCTGGCCGCCCAAATAAGTGGGGATGCCCAGGAAGCCATACCTGTGCAGATCCGCCCTTTGACAAGAACCAAGTTCACTCTCTCTCTCTCTCTGCCATCAGAATAGACAGTGTGTCTATTACACAGATTACGGAGCAAGTGTCCCCAAGACAAACAAACCGGCCACGATGCTCGTAATTTAGCGCTTCATCGCCAAAGAGGCGAGTGGTCAGCTTGCCCGGAGGGTTGCCTGCTACCTCAGGGAGCTGTTTCTGTTTCAGGAACGACTTTGGCAACCACAAGAGGCACCTCACTATAGACCGTAGTCGCTCTGCACTCTTGTTGGCACACGCCTAGCCACAAGCGAAATTTCAAGTCTTGCCCCGGCCTGATGGCACAACCAAAGGTCGCAGATGCCACAGAAGACGGTATACTGGAACCATCCGACTGCGGGGACCTCAAGCGGACCGCGCTGCCGCAATCTTCAACTTAAACTTGCATGGTTCCAAGACACCGCAACAACGGCGCCTTCGTCACCGCTGCCAAACCATTGGGCACGTCGGAGAACTTGAGATCTGTGGATGGAGAAAGGAATCCTGCAACGGAGCATCAGCCAAATTCGGAATCTTTGCTGCAGCCGAGAGTAGCTCCTGGGAATCTAAAGAACTCCTGCACGATGTACCCAGTGCAGGCCTGGCTTTCCACAACCAGTGCGGATGCCCGCAATGAAGACAACTCAGTCTCCTTGCATCTAAGTGACGAGCATGGACACGCGACCGTGCTTGAGCTCAACGACGCGGCGGCGCCTGAATTCCTCAGGCTTGGGACAGATTCAGTTGATTCACTACAGCGGGTTATGTAATGCTTCCAGAGAGGAAGGCAACATGGGAAATCTACGGAGGCAATCAGAGGCAGAGGAGGAGGAATGTCGATTCCCTCCACAGCCTTTACATCTAAAGCCAGGGCACGAGTGCATCACCGTCAGAGGTGAACCCTGCCAGCGGCCGAGGTTGATAAGAAGCATGACTCACAAGGCACAGCTGGCAGCGAATGATCAGGCCTGCTGGATCCCAGAAACCCACGGGAGCTTGCACGCCAAGCTCGTTTTCCTGGGCCAAACAGTCTACATACTCCCTCTCCATGAAGACACCGGAGCAACACATTGCTGGCCCTAGCGCATGACCGAACGGGTTGCGATAAGCTCACTCCGACTCTCTCTAAGCCTTCGTTTTTTCGGCACAGGGAGATTTACTGGAAATTGACTGTCCACCAGCACCAGTACTAATTGCAGAAATGCTGTGCGAATCCAGCCGTCTCTACGTGAACCTGTTCCTGCAAGAGTAGCTGCTTTGCTGCAAGCAGGGGGCGAAAGCACGCACCACCACTGTGCTGCGCGTGGTCGGGCGCTGACTTTTTACAGCTAGGGCGCCCAAGGCGACGCCTGTGAGAGCGGACGAGGGTCGTCTTCCCAGATCGCAGAGCGGACCCGGCGGACAGCGACATAGACAAGCTGATGACTCTCGTTCTCAACGGTATCTCTCAACTCAAGAAACCATCTCAATCGATTTCCGATCGGAAGTTGTCCAGAGGGGCCTGCACCGGCTCCCAGCACGGTGGTCGACGAGAAGCCCTTCGCGACACAACTTCACATTTGGAATGCGTGGCCACTGCTACAGCTGGCCTGGGACTGTGCCTGGGACCTGGCACCCCGCAGCGCTGGGGCGCTTGGCGCCTGCGACCCCATCACGTTGTGGGCCCTTTGCACTCTGCAGACATTTCCCCGCACCTTGCCAGCTGGGGTCACAAAAGCGGTGGAGGCGGCAGCCTTGCCGTAGCAGGGTAGCTCCGCAGCATGCAGGTACAAACTACAAGCTCTTTCAATCGAGGCTCGGCCAACCCGAGGGCAACGACCTCAACAACAGAGGAAGGTAAGCATGTACCGGCTCTTCTTTACATGTCAGACAAAATAGGCCAGCTCATCCGGCAAGAAGTTTCCTAGTATGCAACAGCTTTGCCTCTGAAGCCTTTGCCAGGCTGTAGGACCGGATCAGTCAGCTCATACAAACACAATCTTGCAGATTTGAGGTGCTAGTAAGCTTTCACAGCTTGCCGTGATGGAGTCATGACGCAGTCAGTTATTGCGCTCCGAAGCGAAACCTCCCAAGCTGGAAGGCATCCCGGAATTCCTTGCTACAAGCCTCCTCTCACAGGTGGCTATCTTGTCATGAACAGCTTTAACTCTTCACCCGATGCCTCATGTCGACGAATCATCAGTTTAAACATCATCTCCAAGTGGCTTCTTTGCTCGGGGCCATGTGCAGAGATAATTAAGTGAAACGGGTGGAGCCTGGGATAATAAAAAGAAGTCCTCTGTGCCAAAATGGCTACGGACTGGACATCGCAGTCACAAAGTGCTCACGCGGTTACCTACATCTGACATCAAGAAGCTAATCGCTCCGGCGCAATGACCACCCGATGAGAAGCACATGAAGGGAAGGAATGCTGATCTGCTTCAGAACCAGTCAACCAGGGAACTTGAGAAAACCTGCTTCTTACATACCTGCCAAGATGCGTCTCAATCGTAGGCTTCCACCCGTATTTGTGCGAAGAGCAGTTGGGCTTGGCCTCAGCCATGTCTTTGTAGACGCTTAACAGAACCTGTCAAACACAACTTCAAGCACAGACTCACGACTGTCAAGTCGAGGCACGTATCGCTGCTGAGGCAACAGCCTGCGCGACAACAGAGCGAGTGTGTTTGAAGCAGGACTTCGGCTTAGAAATTGCCGAGCCAGTACAGGCAGGGGATATCTTCAAACTGCCGCGCACTGCCTGTGACGGTGCATCAGCCGATGGCGGTCGTTGATGAACTCTATGTCCTGGAATTAAGGTCGCAATAATGGTGCCTCTGCGAAAATGCCAGAACCTGCAAGGTCCTCCTCGGGTCGTGGAGGTGGCCAGCTTGCAGCAGCCTTGCTCCCGGAGTTCAGAACCTCACTCGAGTTTTTGCTTTGGACTGCCGAGATATCCAAAGCACAACCCCAGCCTCCTGTCCGGCGCTTTGCAGGGACGGCGCCGAGGCCGTTTTCTTCAGGGCCTCGGCCTGAGCGGCCTCTCAGAGCTCAGGACATCCGTACACGCAGATCCTTCCCCAGATTGCCTTGCCCCCCAAAAGTTTCGTTTCTTGCAGGTGGACTTTGAAATCAGATTGCAGCATGCACGTAAGATCTCTGACTGGCCTAGAGGGCTTTGTGTCGAGGAGATGCACTACCATAGCAAGTGAGACAACCCCGTCAAAATTATTGCAGCAGTTTTCATGAAAACTACTAGGTACTATCCATATACACCCATCACAGCGGTATTGATAGTTATGATTCGTTACCAAGGATTGATTTTACTTGATCTCACATCATAGAACCGGAGCAAGACTCGTCTGGACACCTGTTGCGACTGCAAAACGACGACATGTCTAGATGCATACAGGTATATCATGGCATGTAGAAAGATACTTGGCTAAAGGGACAGGGTAGACACATTTTGCACTCTGTAAGATCGACATGAAAACATGTCTTCACCACCTACAGATGCATAGAAGCAGTTCTACATATACGGAACCTGTACAAGTACATGGCATCTGCAGTTGCATATTTGCCTGTAACAGATTGATGCATGAACAACTGCAAACAGGTATGCAGGGCATATGCAGCATTTCTGGGGTGGACGTACTGATGCATCTGAAAACATGCTCTTGTCCGAACAAAGGCATGCATTCACTTGTGCATATACTTGCTATGACCTTGTCATAGTGCTCGTTCTCAATCGTCTAGCTCTGTCTACCCTGTAAATGAACGTACGGCTTGAAATTCGTGCAGTATTGCCAGGCACGACTTCTAGCATGTTCTCGCCTCCTTTCGCATCTCAGAGCGAAGTCTGCGTTTTGGAGCCTCCGGCAGCCGTTCGCATACTTGCTTCGCATGCAAAGCCCGTTCGCAAGAGGCCTTGAAGAAGCCCCACCGCGGCTCCCACTCGCGCTGTAACCTTGCTTCATGACTTCACTTCAAGAGGAGTCCCGAGTCATGCTTTTAGGCTTTTAACCGTTCAAATTGCGGGAGTACGCAAGTTGCTAGTCATCCACTGCAGAATTCGTCGAAGGATGTCGAAGCGGGGGCTTCGCTGCAGCGTGACCGCACGGTTGCATTGCCCACTAATTGCAGCTGGAGCACTTGTACTCCTCAGTTCTCTGGCTCAACCGCAAAACGATGAGCTTAAGACATTCAAAGCGTGCAAATCCGTCTCCCATGCTCGGAAACATGGATTTGATTGCTTGTGGAGTCTGAGAAGTTTTAGCAGATGCAGGCAGCTAATTGCCACCACGCCACCATTGTGAGCAATGTTCGGTAGTTCCTTTGTTCTATGCTCCACGCTGCCGGACACAAAACAGGCAACACAAAGCGTGAGCCATCGTGCAACTGGGGCATGCACAGAACAGAAATGCAGCAGCAATCCGAACAGGGAACGTTTCCAGCTGACTTAGCGTTGCGGCGGCAGTGTGCCACAAGCAGCTAAAATTACTTGCAGGTCCAATACAGCAGCTATATCTGCAGCGGTGTGGTTGGTCTTGGCCAAGGCTCTCAATTGCGTCTTTCGTGTCAAGCCCCTTTCGGCCAGCCATGGCTCTTCTAGAAAAGCCTGAGCCTGGAGGTCAGCAACCTAGGCGAGCCTGTTAATGGTTTGATGCGTTTTCATCTTTACTGAGGAGGCTCGCAAACAGCTTCACCCCTCGTTCGAGCCAGCTGGCAGTGCAAGAAGCGGTCGTGGTCGACATGTCATCAGCCCGCTCAGCTCAGCTTATGCATTCCCACAGCTTGTGCCGACAAGCCTGCACTTTGACCTTCCCTTTACGAAACTGTGGTACTGGGACATGACGTCATCGCATCAGGTATCAGCACGACACGCTTCTCACCACTTCTCGTTAAGCCGTTAAGCTTCTCCAAGGTGCGACGAAGTCCAAGCCTCAAAAAGGCGGTGCGTCCAGCCATGCTAGATATCGAGGCCTGCAGGCTCCAGGCGAGCCAGGCCAAGGCTTCGTGCAGTTCACCATGGCCGGAAAGCTCGTCAACAAGCAAAGGTTGGAAAAAAGAGTAACGACACCGGACGAATGGGCACAATTCCGGGGCTTGCTAAACCCTAAATAACCGCTAACCCTAAAGAAACACCAAACTCACCCTAAACTCTAAACTACTAAGGAACCCTTCTAGAACCTGTGCCAGATGATCCAGACAAAACCAGACGTTTGATTCCTCAAGTTATAGCGGGCTTCTTCCTCTGACGTGGTGGTCCATTCAGCTTACCGTTTTGCCTTCGTGTTCTGTTGGTTTCTTAGTGGTCTTCTGCTAGCGCGCGTGAGCATTTGCCTTTGCTGCCTACTCCAGCAAGTGACTACTGCCTTCTGCTGAGTGCTGAGAGCCGGTGTCAGGCACATGGTAACTTTAACAACTGTTCAAGGTTTATAGCCTTTAGCAGACACATGTTCCCTCCATCCCACTTTCATCCCACGTGGAGCAGGTGTCACGAAGCGCAGAGAGCCCTGCCCACTTTGCAATCGATGTTCGACCATCAGAAACACAGAGAGAGAGAGAGCAACCAAACTGCACACTATCCTTCGCCCCGCCTCCACTTGGCTGTAGACGAACGTGTACAAATTAAGCTGCGCAGCAGGGACAAGGCTCAGACTTCTGACTCGCTGGTGCATATGCATATGCTCTAGTGACTATCCTACTGGTACTTAAGGGCTGCGGCGCTGCCACTCAACTCAGCCGCAGGTCTCCGGGGGTAATCAATCAAACGCATTCAAAGTGCCAGCATCACAAGAGTCCGATAGAAAGAGGGACCCTGGCCTGGTCGCAAGCAACAAAGACCGTCGAATCCTGGCTTTGGAGGCCCGAAACTCCAGCAGCACACTAGGGAGCCGCTAGTGACCGCTAGTGAGCAAGAGTCATCTTCTGCGAAGCCGAGCGTCCGAACTGTCCCACAGGATGCGATCAGCGGTGTTGGGGAAGTCCGCAATGGGAATACAATCATCGTTGACCTCCACTGCACGTCTATGTTTCAACCAATGTAGTGATCCCATGTCGGAGAAATCAACATCTGTGCCAAAGTCTATGAATCACCGCGTCCGGTACTGTACAGGTCAGGCACTCTGGGGCTAGCACCGGATTGTACCTTGCAGATGGATGGCCAAGCTTCACTATGCCTTCTCCTACAGTCGTAACTTCTCAGGTCCAGTGTGTGATCCAAGCTGCAGCCAGGCGTTGCCGGAGTTGTCAATCAAGGCAACCTGCAGTGACATGCTGTGGGGTGGGGACACAGCCTCAGACCTCTGGACTGGAATCTGCGAACTCGGAGGTACCCCTTTTTGGGTAGACCCCCTGAGCCGGCTCCTTTCCTTTATGGGTCACGTAAAATGCGAACCTGTGTGCAAGCGAGTTTAGCCTGCCCCGAGCCCTGCAGGCGTTCTGCTTCGTCCTTCCAAGAAATTCCCTTCGGGAGAGGCTGTCGTCACCGAAATGCAGGGTAGTTTGACAAACTGTAACCGCTGGGGGTGGATCTTTGACATCCGATCGTCCTTCAGGAACAATAGGAACAGTGGCAGGAGAGCTGACTTGATCATGAAAGGAAATCCACGACGGTGACAGGGCTTGTTAGAGTATTTGTTGCTCTGTCGCGCAGTGCCAGTACCACTCGTAGCAGTCACAGCTCAGGGAGTAATTTAAGTAAGCCGTTGCGCTGCTTGTAGCCCTTTTCTCCTCCCTCTCGGGCGCGGCTACAGTATTTGTCCGCTTTGCCTTCGCCCTTGTCGTTATGCCAGCTGGACTTGGGGGAAGCATAGTGGGCAGTTCGTCGATCTGGTTGGGCGGAGCGAGCTCCGCGGACAAGTCTTTCCACGAGGCTTGCTCAGGAACAAATTCTTGTGGCAGGAATGAACCGATGGGCATGGTATTTGTGGGAGTGGCGACTGGTGTGAAGCTACTGTCAATGGGCTTGCAGCAGATCTGCCAGTCGGCATGTGGCAAGGACGTGGGTGGCAACTCCACAGGCTTCGTCATGGTTGCTGGGCAGGCAGTGCAGTTCAACTGAACGGTCTGCGCGGCGGCCATGCGCGTGGCTTGAGCTCTGGCGTGGGACTGAGCCAAATGCCGCGACTCTGCCAGTTGACATCTGGGAGTGGGATTTCGAGTGGCAGACATCAGGGTGAGACTGGAAATTCCTCTGAGGTCGGAGCCCGAGTTCCCTCGTGATTGGGATAGCACCTTATTTTGCTTCAAGGCGCGCATACACTGTTTCGCAGAACTCGGTCCGGCTGATGGCTGTGCCCCTTTGGCCCTCACGTGCGGACTGAGGACAAGGCTTCCGAATTCCGTTCGAGTGCTTGTACTCATTGACCTGATCGGAGACAGTGGATCACAGTGGCTCGTCTCCTGAACGTGCAGAGACGCACAACTAAGTCACGTTTCGCTGATGAAGCCATGTCAAGCAGTTGCACACGAGGCAAGAGATGCAGACTCAGACTGGGAAGGAGGGGCATCCATGTGCGCATTCTGAAATCAATTCACGTGTGGCGCCTCCTGGCCATCTACCAGGGAATAGTACCTCAACAGCTGCACCAAACATCCAATATCAGCGTGCGTATTCATTGTCCCAGACTTGCGGGGCGGAGAGCACGGATGCGGGCAAGGCACTGCAAACGACCGTTGGAGTGAGCGTAGATCAGAAAGTTGCCCACAATGGAGGCACAAGTCACACTACGGTCATCCTCCTGCGAGCGCAGGCTGCGGTCATAATCTTGACTTGACTAGACCTGACCAGACTACTCCGAGGTGACAGACGGATCCACAGCTGATCTATCACCTCTCTGGTAGCGGTTGACCACGACACTCTAGCCAGCTGCTTATTCATGTTCCTTTCTTGGGAAGATGGTTGTCTTCCCGTCACCGCTGCGGGGCTCGATCTGGTGCAGGTACCTGGAGACCATCAAAGCTTCTGCCGCATGTGCGCCCCAAAGTGCATGCAACCGATTGCACCTGCACAGTTTTTTCCGAAGCCACACACGCTCCAAATCAAAGGACCGGCTACTTGCAACTACAAGTTCTTCGTCTGCAAGTCGAACTCTCACTGAGATATTGATACATCAAGTATGCGGAAGTGTATGCTCTCCACTAGACTCACTAGATTCACTAGATGCCAATCACAACCGGAGATGACAGATTCTTCAACGCCTTCAGGACCTCGGTTTGTCGCTGCCAGACTGAAACATGTCAGGTAAAGCTCGACTGAAGAATGTCAAGAAAGAGCTCAGATTCTCATCAGCCGAGATGCAGAGAAGGGCACGACTCTCGAAGTTCTTTGACTCAGCGGTGTCCCTTTCACCTGCGCAGAACTGGAGTTGCCCGGACGTTGTTCCAACGAGTCCACTTTAAGTCGTCTGTCTTTTCACGCAAGCGAAGCTCAAGGCACAGCACCTCTAGGTTTATCTGGCCACAGCTGCCCCGCAGCATCACACGATTTGTTGGACCGGACCTCACATGACGAATGAATCTTCGCAGAGCTACATTCATCCGCTCGTCTTGCTGCTTGCATAGGCTTCCGGCACTGCAGGATCGGCAACCAATCGGACGTTCAGCCTTCTGCAAGTGCCGGATTCAGGTCTGGAGTGCTGCTTGGGCTGGCAGGTGCAGTCGGCAAAACAGTATCAAACAGGCTTCAAGAAATCACCAAGCCTTAGCTGTGTCATGCACTTAACGAGAGACTATATACTATAATATAATATACTATAATGTGCTGTCATATAATTTACAAACATGCCGCTTCAACGCCGAATTGTTCCTCATGGAGCAGAAACTGTTCTACAGTGGCCGCTCTCTCTGCCAACTTCTTGAGGCTCAAGATGTGTCGTTTTGCAAAGAGTAATATAGACTAGTATAGTATACGATTACCATGGTATACTATCAGGCAGTATACGAATATAAGCATTGTACAATATGGTATACGGTATAGTGTAATGCATTTGTAGGCGTGGCTCCCCTTCTCCAGGCTGGAACCTCTTACCCTTTCAGCGGTAGCCATCGTTGGGGCCTGTCCAAACCAACTGTTGCAAGCGCCAAAGCCGCAGCAATGTTGGCATTCTTTGGGAAC